CACCTTTCCTTTCCTGCCAGAAGGGAGCTACTTAAGTGAGCGAATGCGAAGACCTAGCATTCCCAAATGAATCTTCAGCTGAAAAACAGGTAATCTGAACACACAGCTAGTTAGCATGTTTGGCCCTTTTCTGAGTGCCTCTGGCTCTGGAAAGATGGGTGGATGAGCCAGATAGGGATTCCTGTGTCTTGGGCATGGAAAAGATGTTTGGCAACATTCCCCACTGAGTACAGATTCAAATCCCAGCAACCCAACTGAAACTCAAATCCTACCATTTGTTGGCCCCACCGATAGAACTTGGTAGTGCTGAATGAGAAGGCTACACATACATTTCTGCCTTCTTTCTTGTTAGGCCTGCACAAGCAAGTATACTAAGAGGGGGAAAATAAAGACCCTATCCTACAACAAGAGAAATGTGAGCTTCCTAAACAAATCTGTGGACTTTATGCCATATACTTCGCAAGCTGTGGTACCTCATACTTCCAGTCTGCCTGGGTTGATGTAGGAGAATAATGGCCTGAAGACACGAACATGGCCACAGTGACATGTCTGGAATGGAGACTGAGCTAACTTGAAAGAGACTTGCTTTCTGAGTATGACTCCCCAGAGAAAGCCATGGCTCTCTGGGCTTAAGTTTCCATACACAGTGGAGAATGAGACTCATGCTCTGCCTCAGCTAGGCCCCATGGGAGTGAGCCAACTGTCTTAATGACTTGAGCATTTCCGGCTGCCCAGACTACCCTGCAGCAGAGCTTAGATTTGGCGTGCAGTGGTGTGTTGCTTCCAACCCATCCAACTGGGACAAGGGAGAAGGGGAACCATATCCTGCCTGGAACCTTCTCAGCCCTCCCAAGGCAGAAGCTCTAAAACTTTCTGAGGACCCTTCTGGTGGTCAGCCTCATTTCCCCCACCCCCAGCAAGCTGGTACCAGATTCTTATAGGGATGAGCTAGGCCTCTGAAGTATCTCTAGGCTCAATGCTACATAGCAGAGGCTTGTTTCTTGAGGCCGAGCACAGCAAAATGTAAACAAATTAGCAACATAAGGATCTCATTTCCCTTGCAGCCCACATGGGCTGCGGCACAGGAGGGAAATGTACTTAGATGTGGTGTTTTCTCCTGGCATTCTTATCTCAGCCCACTGGAGGAGGCATTTTTCTCTCCAGCCCACAGCCCCCTGTTCTATTTGCTCTTTCTGTAAGAACATTTTCAGAGCCAAGAAACTCTCTGGATGGTTTCACGTCCAGGGAGAACAACATGATTCTGCTTGTGGCTAGAACTTCAAGTCATCCTTTCTATTGTCTCACATCAGAGCTCTGAGTCCTTCTGTTTGATTGGAACAGGGCAGAGCACAGGCGGCCTTGATGAGCCTTTAGCAGACCCAACTCAAGGGTCTCCAATCCTGGATCCCAATTAGAAACATCCCACACAGCACCTTGAAGAATCCCCCACAAGACCCCTTTCCTCAAGACTAGCTCCACTCCTGTAGATAAGGAACTGGCCCAGTCAATCCTATAGGATACCTAGAATCTAATGAGAGAAGACCCGCAAGGAGTCTGACAGAAGAGAAGCAATCAGCTTAGCTACAAGTTCAAAGTGGAGACAATCCCGTATATACTAAACTCAAGGCCCTGCTCACGTCCAATGAATAAGCGCAGATGGGAGGCAACAGTGATGATAGTTTTCTTGGAATCAAGGCACCACTGGCAGTGCAGCATAAGTCCAGTTCTTCAGTATAAAATCTGGGTCTGGGTCTGAAAAACAAGAAAGCACTGGTTAATTTAATGGCCAGATAAGGACTATTGCAAAACATATGGAAGCATCCAAAAGAAAACAACTATTCACTAGGTTGTGCCAGTATTGTGTGAGGGTAGATGGCTAACCAAACTGACCTGCCCATGACCTTTCCCCTTCTAACACTTTGCCTTCAGTTACAGAGGCTTGTGGCAGATCAGGGCCTAAGAGTTTTAGCAAGGATCTGTCTTTCTCCATCAGGCCCATAACTTGAGGCTTGACTTCTCTGTCAATCAAGCAGACTACTTACTCTAAGGGAACTAATCCATATTATATGCAGCAACAGAGACAGAATTCTGGAAAGTAAAGGGACTTCTTAACTCACGGTCCCTAGATACATCACCTGGGGCTTGAGATAAAAGGCTTGGGCTATCTGAACCTTGGGCAAGGATGCAGAGAAGGGAAGTTCTCCTGAGATAATTATCCAGTCTTTGAAATATTAAGGGCCCTGAGAATAATGGCACACCAAAGAACCCTTCCAAGACCAAAATCCTGGCCCCTTGTAGGCCTTTGTTGTTACTTGGGATAAAACTTTGGTCCCCCAATCTATTCATGGTGTCTAGGTAGGAAGAAAGGCAAACTATTTTCCCCTCACCTAACCTCTGCAAAGGCCAATTCTGGTTTTCTTTCTTTCTATTCCTCTTTCATAGGATGCTATAATCACACAGATCTGGATTAAAGTCCAAGTTTTTTTTTCTTTTTTTTTTTTTCTTTTTTTGGAGACAAAGTCTTGCTGTGTAGCCCAGGCTAACCCCTGATACTCTTATCTTAGCCTCCTGAGTTCTGGGATTATAGGTATGTGCCACCACATGTGTCCCAAGGCAAAGCTTTTTTTAAGTGTCTGGACAAAGCAAACTTTATTGTTGATTAAGAGGGTGCAGTCAGAAGAGCTGGCACACATTAAAGGAACATGTTATGTGCTTGGGTTTTTAGTCTAACTTGGGTGGTAACTATGTCTTTTCCCCATTGGCTAGGGTCTGACCTCACAGTTTTATTCAATTGGCTAGTCTTAATAATTTGAAGGCTGCTGAGCATGGTGTTGCCTACCTTTAATCCAAGCAGTTGGGAGACAGAGGCAGGCAGATCTCTGAGTTCGAGGCCAGCCTTATCTACAGAGTGAGTTCCAGGACAGCCAAGGCAGAGGAAAAAAGAAGGAGACACACACACACACACACACACAGAGAGAGAGAGAGAGAGAGAGAGAGACTGAAGGCCAAGCTTTTTTTTTTTCAGGAAAATTACCTCTCAGGACCCATCTGCAAAGTGGGGTTCAGAGGTTCCCTATCTGCTCTGCAGATTGGTGTGGTAAATAGGGCTGTGGGTAAAGGTGGAGGAATGGAGGTTTCCAAGAACAAACGAGGGAGGCAGGTAAATTGCTATCAGGCTGCTGAGGACAGCTCTTGGTGTTTCTTCCACAGCTCCCTAAGCCTGCGCTACTTCACCTATGGGATCCTCTTTGGCTGTGGCTGTTCCTTCGCCTTTCAACCATCACTCGTCATCCTGGGCCACTACTTCCAACGTCGCCTAGGTCTAGCCAATGGTGTGGTGTCTGCAGGAAGTAGCATCTTCTCCATGTCATTCCCCTTACTCATAAAAATGCTGGGGGATAAAATCAAGCTGGCCCAAACCTTCCAGGTGCTGAGTACCTTCATGTTTATCCTTACGCTGCTCTCACTCACTTACCGACCCCTCCTGCCCAGCTCCCAGGACACCCCAAGCAAGAGAGGTCCCCACACCCTGCGACAGCGCGTTCTGGCTCAGTTCAGAAAGTACTTCAACATGCGTGTGTTCCGCCAACGCACCTACCGCATCTGGGCCTTTGGGATCGCTGCAGCTGCCCTTGGTTACTTCGTCCCCTATGTACACCTGGTGAGGAAGAAGCTGACTTCAGTCCACCTGGAGTCCAAAGGGTGGGAGTGGGGGACACTGAAGGGGCAGAGCTTAGGAAAAAGAAAGAAAACAGAGCCAAGCATGGTAGCTCAGGCCTATAGTCTCAGCACTTGGGAGACTGAGGTAGAAGGATTGCTGTGAGTTTGATGCCAGCCTAGGCTACACAGCAAGACTCTGTCTCAAGACAAATAAACAAGAAAGGAACATAGACTAGAGAAACAAAACAGTGACTGGCAACTGGCAGAGAAGTAAAGAGCATGGGTTCAAAGACAGTCTCAGTGGGAAATGAGGGTAGTTCCTTAGGACAAAGCCCATGATCCACGACTTCCCCCATGATAAAAGTTCAGATAGAAACCAGGCCTGGAGGTGCAGGTCTAAAATCCCAGCTACTCGGGAGGCTAATAAGAGGATTGCAAGTTCAAGGCCTGTCTGAACTACAGTATGAATTCAATCCAGTCTGAGAAACTATCAGGAGTGTGTCTCAAAACTTTAAAAAAAAAAAAAGTAAAAAGAGGGCTACAAAAGTAAATCAGTGGTAGGGGACTTGCCTAGCATGCACAGGGCCCTGGCTTTAATCCCTAAGTACTGAAAACAAAATGTTTCATTGCATTGATGGCTTTGAGGGGATAAGCATCACTGGAAGGGTGGCTCAAATGACCCAAGACATGGTTTGTATAAAGACTTTCCTGGGGAATGCCAGTCTCTGTGGTCACATGATTTTGTTCAGGAAACAGCATGTATGGGAACTCCCTAGATTAGGAACATGTTGTAATCTGTTGACTATAGTGACAAACCCTGCAGTTTAAAAGCCCATTCAGCTCTGTTTAACCAGCACCCACCAGACTTTCTCAGCTACAGAACTGTTGGCTATAGAGCAGCTGTTATTCTATAGACTGTGAGGTTTTGTGTGTATTTGCATGCACACTAGGGATGGAAGGCAGGGCCTTGTCCCGACTAAGCATGCCATCTACCACGGAGCTACATCCCCTGCCTGTAGACCTTGTATTTCCTAAAGCACACTTAGAAAGAGTTGCCTGGATGTTGATGGACCTTTATCTCCTAGTGACCTGATAGTTCAGCCTGTCAATGTTAACTCATTGCATGGGGATATCATAGAAGAACACCTAGATTTTCTAAGTAGTTTGTCCTGTCAAGGCTTAGAAGACTTGGAAGGACCTAGCCCTGTCAACTATTTCTCAAAAGCCCAAATTCCAGAGAGACTACGATAAGTAGCCTTTGTAATTGCTAGAAGCAGCCATGGGGCTTTTCCTGGGGCTAGGGGACACAGAGAGGTGCTACTCCATTTGGAGACTCTTGTCCCGGTCCAGGGAAGTGAGTAGTAGAAAATCCTGGATATTCCTGCATTTAACCAATCAGTTCCTCTTTCTCCTCCTGTTCTGGGGGTGCTGGTGTTTTGCTTTTCAGACTAAATATGTTAGAGAAGAATTCAAGGAAATCAAGGAGACCTGGGTGCTCTTGGTGTGTATTGGGGCTACCTCAGGCCTTGGACGTCTTGTGTCAGGCCACATCAGTGACTCCATTCCTGGACTTAAGAAGATATACTTGCAGGTGAGTGTCCCCTTGTCCACAGCCGGGGCTCTGGGATAGGATGTAGGGTGAGCCACTGCAGTTCTCTGGGCCCCAACTTTGTACATGATAGATACTTAAATAATTGGAGCCTTAGTTCCCCTGCTTGTTCACCCTCCTTCACTACAATGGAGTCAAGATTCAATGAGAGCTGTGAATATGGAACCTTGCAGAACATACAACAAGTAGTTTGTATTAACAATAGCCCAACAAATGAAAATGGAAACTCAGGCCACAAGTTAGATGAGTCCCCCAAGTAAGGATTTGTTGAATTGCTTCCCTACAGTGTCTTGGAGCACTCCACAGCCTAGTGCTTCTCTCTTCGAGGCCAGGCCCAGGTCCGTCACCTCTCACACTTCCAGAGCTATTTGATTAGCATCAAGCACTAGCTCTGAAATGCCATCCCTGGCAGAGATGGGCAGATCTCTGTGAGTTCAAGGACAGTTTGATCTACATAGCAAGTCCCAGGACAGCCAGGGCTATGTAGAGATTCCCTTTCTCAAACAAACAAACAAACAAACAAACCTGAAATTCCATCCTACCAATGGACACCGAAATCATGCCAGAGAAGGCCAAACTTCACTCCTTCTCTCTAGCCTTCACTGTCCTTATTTGTACAGTGAGGACAATTCTCCCCTATCTTATAAAAGTGAGCATCAAAACAAATAGAGATGTGACCCAGTTTAGTCCTTCTGACAGTGATTACAAGTTTCCTCACACTGTGGGCAGTGACCAACTACCCAGGTAGTCTGCTGGTCCCTTTTTGTGTGACCTGGGTTCTGTCTGGTTTGAATACAGGTAGTTCTTCGACTACCTAGCAGCAGTAGTATCTTCCTGGCTCTGCTCATGCTTCTGATCCTACAACCAGGCTTGCCAGGTGGTGCCACACTGCAAAGCCCTGTGGAAAAGTAAAGACAGCCACAGAACACAAGCCATCACAAATTCCCCACCAGAAAGAGGTTGAGTTTGGACTCACTTCTAGGCCCTGACCATTTGTAGTGGGGATTCTATGGTCTTTAGCAGTGCCAAATGAGTTCCTAAATGCCATCAGGTGTCATGGGTAAGGATATGATTAATCTTTCTGTGGAATTTAATTCTGCTGGTTGCAAGAGCCAGTGACTGCTTCCCTAGAGTTATGGGTTCCCTTGCCAGGCCAACCAGGCCAGCCAGGCCAACCTAGCATCACACTGAAGGAAACAGAGTGCAGCTTCTTCCACAAAAGTGGCAGAGCTAAGCTGCTGTACCGCTTGCTTCTCATATCCTGTTGTCCTAGTTTGCTTTTTGCTGATAAGATAAACACCATACATAACCAAAAGCAATTTGAGGAGGAACGGGTTTATTTTATTCTACAGCTTGCAGTCCATCATGATTACATTAATCATCAATCGATAAAATATACCCTAGGCAGCAGGGCAGTGGTGCTGCACACCTTTAATCCCAGGAAGAGGCAAGTGGATCTCTAATTTTGAGGCCAGCCTGGTCTACAAAGTGAGTTCCTTGATAGCCAGGACTGTTGCATAGAGAAACCCTGTCTTGAAACACCCCCCCACCCAACAAAAGTTTCATGGGTTTGCCTAAAAGCCAATCTGATGGGAGCATTTTCTTAATTAAGGCTCCCTCTTCTTTAGATAAACCTGTCTTGAGTCAAGTTGATTTAAAAAAAAAAAAAAAAAAAAAAAAAAAAAACCAACCAGCACACCTATCTTTCTCTAAATGATGGACAGCAGGCCCAAGTCTCAGAGATAAGTGAACTGCCCAAGGTCAAGCCAAGAGCTTGTGACTGGGATAAACAAATTATGAATTGCTTAATTCCTTTGCAAATATCAGCAAGTGCTTTATCTGATTGCCTTTTCATATAGTATATGTGTTCTTCCAGCCTCTTTCACACGTCCCCCACCATGGGCCTTCCCTGCCAGTATTAGCAGCTTCGAGATGCCAGAGAGTTCAGAAAACGAGAACATGCTGGCACTGAGCCAGAACTTTCTTCTGCATCGAGGCAGCAGCCCCTGCCTGGTGCTACAGCTCACATGCTTCTCTCACCATAGTTCCCAGGAGAAAGCCAGGGCCTAGCTGCTTTTTTTGTGCAGCTAGAGCTCCACAGGACATGGAGGCACAGCTGGTTAGAGGCTAGAATCCTGGACTTCTACTGATTTCCCCCACTTTCCTTCCTCATACTCGACTGGGTTTCACCACTTAGAATAATAATAATAAAAAAAAACATTACAACATAGCTGAGACATCTTCATTACCCGAGGGTTTGGGGCTGGGGTGGGTGTGCTTCAGACAGTAAACTGCTTTCTTTCCTTTTAAGTATGGGGACCTGAGTGTGATCATCAGAAATCAGAACCCACGTTTTTAAAAGCTTGGTAATAACAAAAGAGGGGACAGCAAGATGGCTCAGTGGCTAAAGGTGTTTGCTGTACAAGCTCAATAGCCTGAGTTCAATCCTCAGAGCTAACACAAAGGTAGAAGGAGAGAACCAACTCTGCAAAATTGTCCCCTGACCTCCACATTCTCTCTCTCTCTCTCTCTCTCTCTCTCTCTCTCTCCTCCCTCTCTCTCTCTCTCTCTCACACACACACACACACACACACACACACAGTGTTGCTCACTTGGAATCCCAGCCCAGCACTGGGGAGGGAGAGATACCAGGGTCTCTGGGGCTTGCCAGCCAGCCAACCTAGCCTAATTGGTGAGCTTCAGGCCACTGAGGGACTCTTTCTCAAAAGAAGTAGACAGCCTTCCTAAGGCTGACATCTGGAGTTGTCCTCTGGCCTCCCATGCATATGTGTATATGCATCTGAACACACAAATGTATGTGTACACACACACACACACACACACACACACACACACACATTTTGAGAACAAAAATACAATATGAAAATTGAATATTTTAGGACCAAGGCACAATACAACAGATGAGCTTCTTTCTTTTCAGTTTTTTTTTTTTTAGTTTTAAGTATTTTTATTTTTTCCCTTTTTTATTAGAAAGAAAATTATTTTACATGTCAATCCCAGGTCCCTCTCCCTCTCCTCCTCCCCTGCCCCCCCCAACTAACACCCTACCCATCCCATACCCTTTCTGCTCTCCAGGGAGGGTGAGACCTTCCATAGGGGCTCTTCAAAGTCTATCATATCCTTTGGGATAGGGCCTAGGCCCATCCCATGTGTCTAGGCTCAGGGAGTGTCCCTCCATGTGGGATGGGCTCCTAAAGTCCATTCCTATGGTAGCGATAAGTACTGATCCACTACTAGAGGAGATCTTTTCAGTTTTTTGTTTGTTTGTTTGTTTGTTTGTTTTGGAGGGTTTTTTTTTGAGACAGTTTTTCTATGTAACCCTGGCTGTCCTGGAATTCGATTTGTAGACCAGGCTGACCTTGAACTCACAGAGATCCACCTGCCTCTGCCTCCCAAGTGCTGGGACTAAAGACGTGTGCCACCGGCTTTTCAACTTTTCCAAATGCTCATCACAAGAACTCCTTTGTTCTCAGTGTCAGCTGCAGAAGTTAGTCATGGGTAAGGAAAGGAGGGCACGTAGCTTCAGAGTCTCAAGAGCCACCCCGTAGACCATGTGGTTCCCTAACAGTTGTTAAAGCCAACAGACATGCCAGGCATCTAGCTCCTGAATAGTCTGTTAGAATGGAAATAGAAACAGCCTGCCAAATGACCTCATTTGAGACCATTTTTGAAGCCTGCGTTCCAGTTTGAGGAGGGATTATAAATTTCCAAGCTTTGACAAGGCCTTGTGGAGGATAAGAAAGAGCCAGATACAACAGTTGGCAATTTCAGATGATTAAGATCAGACAGTAGGGTCCTTTGTGATATATGATACTAACTCTTACTGCCATGATCAGCTTGATTGATAGGTGGGTCTGATTTTAGCTCATGGTTGCATGTGAACCTCCTACAGGAGAAGCTGGGGCAGCTCAGTTCTTATGACTAGCTTCTATGTAACTACCTCAAAATGACCCAGACCAAGTTCAAAGTTTCCCAATACAGACATTCTAAGATGGCATTATCTTTTCCAGAAAACAGCTCCCAACCTAACAAAACCACTATCAGCAACAACACAGAAAATCTGTAGGGCATGAAACAGATTTGACTTGTGTTTTTTCCATGTGTTACTGGGTATGTTTTCCTGCTTATTGGTCTATTATGGGCTTTTGGAAAATTTTCAGGCATCTTAAGACCTTAGTAAACATATCAGGTCTTAGATCTAGCCCTGAGATGACCTGACCCAACAAGCTGCAGTGAGCTGGGAATGGAGTCTCCTCTCTATGCCCACAGTCCAAGGCTTCAGTCTGGCTCATAGACACTGATTGCAAATGGCCTTAATTAAAATCCAGAGCGAGAAGGGGGGTTCCAGAAGACAAAAAAAAAAAAAAAAAAAAAAAAAAAAAACCTAGTGTCTAGGAAGATAGGTTCTTCAGTTTGGAGTAATTTTACTCAGCCCAAAGAAATCAGGACTAGTCAGTGCTCCTGGGCTGCTTCAGGGTGCTCCACCCCCCGCCATATTTATTGGCTTAGCTCCCTAGCACAGCCTCTCTGTTGCCTTCTCAAGAGTATCTTGCCAAGCTTAAAGGTACTCGGAGTAACAATGCCTGAAATATCTGAGACAGATTATGTGTCCCATATCCTAAAACATAAGAAAATCTGAAAGAGCCTGGCATTGGTGGTGAATGCCTTTAATCCCAGGCAGAGGCAGGCGGATCTCTGTGAGTTGGAGGCCAGCCTGGTCTACAGAGTGAGTTCCAGGACAACCTCCAAAGCAATACAGAGAAACCCAGTCTCGAAAAACCAAAAAAAAAAAAAAAGAAGAAGAAGAAGAAAGAAAGAAAAAGAAAAAGAAAAAGAAAACCTGAGAGAACCTCCCAATGGTCTCAAGCCCAGGTATTTCCTAAATTCTACCCCAACAAAGATGGACATTGGCTCCTTCTGCATTTTAACAAGCTGCGCATTGCATTGAAACCCCCATCTAAGCATCATGTAAACCTTCCCTTCCTCCTCCCATGCCTTCCTTGGTCTGAAAACACCAACATAGCTTGATCCCAAATCCTGTCTCAGGATCAGAAAGCAGAAATCATGACTCCTCCCTTTGCTCAAAATACATTGCAAAGACCAACTTCTTTAGCTATGGGCAAGGCAATGTCCTCCTCCCTCACAGATTTTTAACCCTGCTAGCTTCAACTACATAGGGGCTCCTCTTAAAGGCCAAACCCCTCAGTGCAGGACTTAGACAGGGCTTGAGTATATAGTAAACATACTCCAACTGCTCTCTCTGCTGACACCCCACACAGTCCCATTTTACAGATGATAGAAACGAAGATCTGAGAAAAGAAATGTGATTTCAGGTTCTTGTTTCTCTAGGTCCTCTCATTCCTGCTCCTGGGCCTGATGTCCATGATGATCCCCCTGTGCCAGGACTTCTGGGGCCTTATCGTTGTCTGCCTCTTCCTGGGCCTGTGTGATGGTTTCTTCATCACCATCATGGCTCCCATTGCATTTGAGCTGGTGGGACCCATGCAGGCTTCACAGGCCATTGGCTACCTCCTGGGCATGATGGCCCTGCCGATGATTGCTGGGCCTCCCATTGCAGGTGAGGCTGGTCTCTGAGGAAGGTATAAGTCCTGTTTTTCTTGGGAGGGCACTAGCTCTTTGGAGTACCTCTGCTTGGGACCTCTTTCGCCGTGATTTTCTATATAAACATCCTTGCTAGAGTGCATGAAACCCCTGACTGAGGAGATTAAACAGTACACAGGCATGGGTTGTCCCGGGCTGTATATGTTTCACTAGCATTTCATTGTAGACAGTGTGGCTCTTTCTAGAGAGAAAAGTAAAGTTAGTTTCTCCATCACTGTGCAGCTTAGGCTGACCTGGTAGACTAAGCTGGCCTCAAATTCTTCATCTTCCTGACGGAGGTACCCAAGTGCTGATAGTTTTTCAGGTATGCATATCACAGTGACCTTGGTCCAAGTTTCTCTTTACTCTCTCCACAGTGAAGTGATTAATGCCAAGGTAGTCGAGTCAAAGAAGTGGTAAAAGAGAAACTTGGCTCTGGTTTTACTAAAACTATAGACACCCTTCACTTCCTGCTCTTCCTCTACTGGCTTTGGAACTGAACCCACAGTAGAGATTTAATTAAGGAAATACTCCAGGACTGGGAAAATGATGCTGTGACATCTCAGCATCCAAATTTCTCCCTCCACCCTCCCAGAAGAGCATAGTGAGTGCTAAAGGAGCACAAGAAACCAGAAACCCAGTAAAGAGACAACTTCAGCTCAAGCATCAGCTCATTTGTTCACTTCCCCAGGCTTGTTAAATGAGCTAATTCAAAACTCACTCCTTGAACACCAATTATGTGCAAGGCATTGTGAGAGCACCGTGTGATAGTGGAAAATTTTTCCCTCAAGGCTCTTGTACAGTGGGAACACTGTCTACTAGGAAAGGAGCCTCTATCCACCCAAAGAGTGCCAGAGAATTCACAATTCTGTCCACTTTGCTTATATCCTGAGTCAACAAAAGGACAAGGGTCTTCTAGGCTTTCTTTGGTAGTATTTCTGGACTCATCTTCACAATGAGGTACTCCTATTAGCTTCTGCAGTAAGCTTCTCAAATCATACACACTCATGGTATTGGCATCTGGAAGAACCCAAAGGACTCAAGCATAGATGAACTGGAAGAAGAGACACACAATCAGCTCAGCTTCCTCCTAGGGCAACTGGAACTTCAGAGAAAAGGCCAACAGGGCACCTGTAAAGTGCTTGCCATGCAAGCGTCCTGATCTAAGTTTGATCCCTGCAATATATGAAAAAAATGGAAAGAGAGACAGCTCCACAAAGTTGTCCTCCAGCTTCTGCATGATCACCAAGTAATGCATGTGCCCACACGCACAACACACACACACACACACACACACACACACACACACACAGTAATGATAAATAAATGTAAAATAAAACAAGAATGCAGCTGACTTGCTCCACAAGAACAATATGAGGGTGGGAGGGGGGCTGGGGACGTCTACCATGAACCATTCTCTTGAGTCTTTTGAACTCAATTCCTTTGTACCTCCAACCCTAGGAGTGACTGAAAGGTGGCTGGTAGCTTCATGAAAGACAAACACAGAAACTTTAAAAGAAGCTTCATTAGCATCTTTGCTAATGAATATTCACCTCAGGGGCATTTAGCCTTGAAGTTGAGGGAGCTCCTGAATCAGGGTAGCACAGGCCGACACTCTTGATTGGCACTGGGCTGGCCCCCTGAAGGGGAGAGAGAGTGCCTCTGGGTTTCAGGGAAAAGCTAAACTAAGCCATGTCTCTTGACCCTTTCAGGCCTCCTTCGAAACTGCTTTGGTGACTACCATGTGGCCTTCTATTTTGCGGGTGTACCCCCCATCATTGGGGCTGTTATCCTCTTCTTTGTTCCTCTGATGCATCAAAGGGTGTTCAAGAAAGAGCAGAGAGATTCCAGCAAGGATAAGATGTTGTCCCACGATCCCGACCCCAACGGAGAACTGCTGCCAGGCTCCCCAGCTCCTGAAGAGCCGATTTAATGCCTCTGTCTTGCCAGTGTGTGCTCCTCCCCACCCTACCCCTCCATCTCACCCTGCTCAGCATTTACATTTTTGCCACCAGCACACTTGTTCCCAAACCTGTGCACACAGCATTTCAGCCACCTGACCATCTCCTCTGAGCCAACGCTCTCAGTGTTCCAAACTCATTAACCAAATTCTCCCTATGAATGCCTTGAAACTTGCCAGGCCCTTCTCCCAGGATCTGGGAAAACGTGGGATCACCCTCTGGCCTTTGGATCCTCTCCACATACTTTTTAGCCCCCTGGGGTGGGGGGAGGAGGAGGAGGAGGAGGATGGAACCTCTGGCCCCAGCCTGTTAGTTACCCACTACAATCCACTGCCAAAGGTGCTACTGTGTCCCCAGAACCCTGTGGGAGAGACCCAAGCCTCTGCTGAGGAATTTGTTGCCATCCATCCTTGGGAGCCATTTGGAGGTCATGGGAAGGAAGGCCAAAAGAGACAAGGACCTTGTTTTTGCATCAGTGCTCCTAAAGGCTCTGTGGCATCCCATGATATGGTTGGTTAACCATCTGCTTCCCTTTTCCCTTCCTTTTATTTTCTCTCTACTGCCTCCTGTCCATTTTCTTCCCCTCTATTTCTTATTCCTGCCATAGTCACATAGGTGCTTGAAGAAAGGAGGGAACCCAGAGCTTGGGCCAATCAGCTTCATTTGGGCCCAGATAATCCCTAACACTAACATTAATCCTGCTCACCTCAGGCAGAGCTACATCTCATTTGGGGGCTCAAACTGATATAATTATGGACTGGAAGAGCAGGTATCGAATAGGGAAGGGATCTTAAACACTACATAGTTCCATCTACCACTCACTGATTTTTGACACATTAACCAAGAGGCCTTCCCAGCTTCCCATCCTTGTAGCCACCTGTCAAATGTGAAGAAATTCCTTTCATCTCATCAGATACAGGAGGAGCGATGACAGTGCACTGGCATGATGGGGGAGGGGTGCTGTGGTTAACAACTTGGTGAAGGACCAACTTCTTGATCTCTCACTTTTGTAACAGGTCAATATTTCTACCTGGGCCAGGCCAGGAAATGAACTGATTCAAAAAAAAAATAGAAAAAAGAAAAAAATTTTCATTGTGTACCTTGATCCCAAAAAGACATAGGCAGCAACTGCACACATGGTTGGACAATTTCTTTTAAGGGGAAGCCACCTAGCCTTTACCACCCAGTCTGTCCTCTCCTCCCCCCCATTCTGGGCATCCTGGGCCACTCTGCTGAGTGGGCATTACAGGTGCCAGAAAAAGTAGGCTCTGGACCACCATCATCCCTTTGAAGTTGGTGCCAGATACCTCCCTCCACCCAGGCTCTGGGCAACAGTCTTACTACAGAGCATTCCAAGTGCCCCTGGCCAGAGGCAAAGGGCACTGCCAGCCTTGTCCAGTTGCACAGTTCACCTCATTAGGAACTCAGCTTCTCTCTTCCCTGTCTTTGTGTGTCTCTCTCCTCTCTAGGCCTTTGTTTATTGTGTTCCTGTACCCAACCTTTCATCATCTTTTGCCAGGCACCCCTGGCTGTTACTTGGACCCAACAATAACTTGCCACCCCAAGCCAGGGTCATCCCAAGGCCAGGAGGATGAGGTTGCTCTGAGGGGCTCCAAAGAATACAATGGTCCCCACACATGAGTTTTTCCGTTACTAACAGGCAGCTGGGGCATAGTTGGCCTCTGATGTTTCATTCAAGGCCAAAGTCCTGAGCCCCCCTCCGCTGGTCCCAGTCCAGCTCTTATCAACTCCCCAAAGGAAAACCCATTGGTTCTTGGCTCTGAGGACAGGAAGGGGTGGAGTTACTGTCCTGTCAGCTCAAGCATCTTTGGAACAGGAGAAGCTGGGCCCCAGGAGCCCTGTGACTCCCAAGAGAGGCCATTGAAAATACTAGAGCAACAGTGCCTCTGCTTCTATTCCTCTTGCCCCACCCCTGCAGGCCACTTGGGGAGGGGGCAGTGAGTGTGCAGGGCCTCCTTTGTTGCTCATGGCTAGATAGCTCTTAAGAGTCAGGCTGCCACTCACTTCTCTCCAGATGAAGGAAAGACATCCACAGGTCCCAGATCTGCCCATTCAGATGTCACCTAAGGTTGGCAGGATGTCAATTTACTTTTTTCACGCATATGTGTGTGCACGTGTGGGCTTGTGTGCTTTCCGAGAGACTGTTGTTTGGCCCAAGCATCACAGTATTACTATTTAGAGTAGGAAGCAGCCTCTTAGGCACCACAGTTAAAAGTAAAGGAACGAACAAAATGTCAGAGCTTGAGACCTGGGACATTTAAATCCTCAAGGGGTTTGGAACAAAATAAACAGATCTAAATGTTTGGTTTGAGTATGTATGTTGCCTACAAGGGGGTCGTAGTTTTAACCTAGTTAACAGCAGGAAAGTTGGCTTCGCAATTGAAGCCTCATTCCAAACAGTATTTCTGCCTGGCTCTCTGCACTTCGGGAAAACTGACAGTGGAAGAGAGGAACTGGAGAAAAACTGTTTCAGACTGAAATGTTTTATGGCACTCATTAATGGGAAATGTGGCTGCTTCACAAAATAAGAACATAATTACTGGCTAAGTTGGAATGGAGGCCCTGTCAAGGCTAGGCCACCACCTTGATAGAAAAGTGCCACACAGCAAATACAGTGAACCCCCTTCTGTCCTCCTTTATTTTATTGCTGGGGTACTTAAAGAGGTTAGTAGAGCTGAGTTCCACAACTCCACAGCCCCAGAGTCTGGAATAGAAGGTGATACATGAGACTTACAAGATCATCAAAGCTAAGAGCAAACTTAGTCTTCCTCTATTTTATCTTGATTTTAAATGGGGAAAGTGAGGCCTAGAGCTAGAAAAAGGGTTCTTACAGGCTCACAGTTCATCAGGGAAAGAACAAGCTGAGGACATACCCACCTCATTCACTGTGAAGCAAGCTCATTTCCAAAGGAGTGACAACAGGACTAGCTCAGAGCAAAACTAACAGTTGAACAAAATTTCACTTTCAGCATGCCTGTCTCTTCAGCATTCTAGCTCCCAACCAACACACAGTCTGGTATTCTCTCTCCCTCCCAGCCACCTTTTTGCAGCCTTGGCCTTGGAAACCTGATTCAACCAAATGTCCTTCCACTTCCAACAACCCAAGATGTACTAATAAAATCCAGCTCCTTCCGTCCCTGTACTGGACAGAGCAGGAACAAAGAGAAGAAACTGGTTTCCTTTGAGAGAGGATGGTTTACCACCCAGCTCTTGGCTATTGTTGTTTCTCACTGCTCAGTGCAGACACCCTTGGGCTGCTGGCCTCATCACCTCCTCCCACTAAGGCTAATTACTCTGTCCGGATGCCAGGCCCCAGGCTCTCTCACCCAAGATTTGCTGCCCCCTCAGTGCCTCCTCCATACCCCCCAGGGTTCAGTCTGTGTTTGATCACTAAGGATCATTAGATTTCAAAGCTGTAAAATCCTATAATTTTTTACGAGCATATGCTCTCCCCCAGGGCCTTTTCATGTCTGAAAAGGCAGCCAGCAGCTTCCTACCACTTCTCCACAGAAACAGAGCAGGCCAGCTGACAGGGATTACAAATCCCCAGTTTCTGACAGCTGGTACCAGGAGAGGGTGGCTGCTACTTAGAACAAGAAGCTTGAAGCAAGTTGTGAAATTCTAATATGCTGAAATGTAGCAAAGACCCCAGAAAAACAAAAGGGGGTGGATATCTACCTCCCCCAAGGGTTGAGGAGGCTGTGCTGCAAAGGCCTTTAGATACTTGCCTTTCAGCTCTCTCTAGTGGTCACCAGACACACAGCTTCACGTCTGGTTTTTCTGGTCGTATCAGTGTCAGCAATGTTTCCTAGGGACCTGCTGTGTGTCTGGCACGCTGCAGAGCCCAAGAACTTAAGCTATGAAAGGAATAGAATTAAACACAATGATTAAGACACAAAAAGGAATTTGTACTATCTTCTTTGCAAGATATCTTTTCCTCCTCTGGGCCCCAAGTGACCTGTTGCATACCAATCTTGGCGCCAAAAT